CATATTCAAGTGGGATCCACTGTTAAAGACTAAGTGCTTTTTCATTAGAAATGTTGCTTATGCATTATCTGAGCGACTGTCTGCTTTTCTCTCCCCCCTGTCGGTAAGTTTTTGTCTCTTAAAAGCTTTGTATCCCACTCAGCGGAAAATGACTGGAAAATGAAGCCAATGGATTTGTAATTGAAAAGTTTCTTATTTTGGACTTAACAGCGCTTGATGATTAATTATATTTCAAGGAAAACATATATTATTTTACTTCAAAGCAACAGAATTAGGAGTGTGCTGAAATAGAGAATATGAATGAAATTTGGAATTAAATGCAAGTTGAGCAGCTCATAAATCAAAGTTGGCAGTCAAAAGACTATGCAAACGTTGTGGCTGCACTTATTTCATAGAAGCTAATCCAGTTAAGACTTTATGCAAACAGCACCATATGTCACTAACTGAGCCAACTTCTGGGCCGGGCCTTCGTTTTCAAATGAAATTAGATGCTGTCGTTGGCAGAAGCCAGAGACGACAGACGCTTTAATTAAATTAGACTGTATAAAGTTGGCCCAACTCTACCAAACGAAACACACACACACACACACACACACACACACACACATACGCACTCACACTCAAGCTGACTGGCCACATGTGTGCTTTCTCCTTGGTGCCACCTATGGCGCCTTCTGCTTCTACAGCCGCGCTGCTGCTAACCCTGTTGCGGCTGCTGTGTCAAAGTTCGCATTGCGTGTGCGTAAATAATGTCTGTTGCCAGCCGAGCTGCGTGAAATTAAAGCAGCTAAAAATTGTATCAGCCCATATGAACATAATCCGTTGTATATACAGGGTGCCTTTCAGTCAACAAAAATCCCATTAGATTTGCCAGCTGATGCCGTCTGAGCTGTTGTACAAATGCATGTGTTTTAAAGCATTTGAAAAAGACTCCTTTAACGAAAAATAAACATAAAGTGAGGGAGAATGAGAACGAGTGAGCGAGAGAGAGAGAGAGAGAAAGAGAGAGAAAGAGAAATAATTATATAGATCATGGCTGCAGATCAGAAAAATGGTTTCCTGATGGTTTATAGCTCAAAACTATGGTTCGTCTTTGGGTTGGGTTGTCAAACCTACTCGTTAACATCCAGAAGCCCAGTTCAATTCAATCAAATTATAGGCAAAACAGCTTGAAGTCAGTTGAGTATCAGGTACAATCCTCATGTGCGATAAAATTCATTGATGAAAGAGAAACCATTTGAAGGGCTATGCGTAAATGCTGTATGAGCTGCTTACTTCTTCAGAACCCTGTAGGTAGCATATGTATCAAATTTGTGCCCGCAGCTGCTACTATGGCTAAGAACATGGTCTGATGCCTAATTTGTGTAAATTCCAGCAACCTGTTGTCTTAAAAAATGCGAAGAAAAACAAAAGAATTCAATTTAAGTCTGCCGCAGGGTGGGGCGCATTTCTTAGCTGCAATTGACAAAAGGAGCCTAGGCGTTGTCGGGAAAATGAAATTTTGGTTGGTGACGTGTGGTTTCCAGCGAAATCAGCCAAACAGCGGTTAAATAGGATACAAGCAAATTGAAGAATGTCAGAGCCAAGCAGGCTGGAGAGATATTGTTCTAACAGGTGTATGTATGTATATGTGTGCGTGCATATGTGTTGTTTTGTCAAGCTTTGTTCAATAAAAGCACACACTCATGCATATTTTTTTCATTTTGCGCGCAGACCCATAACATCTTAATGGCTGACGCGAAATTTAAGAGCTTGAAAAGTCAACGCAACTTTTCCAATTTTTATTGAGCAAATATTATGTTTGTATACTTGTGTGTGTGTATGTGCGTGTGTGTGTACTTAATATAAATATATATGCTGGGCTTGCGATTCGTTCGAAAGCGCTTAAATATCGATATGGATCATTGCCTGGCAATGTCAGTTAAATCTTAGCCGACTTTAGGCAGCGGCACCTCGTCTGGATTCCATGCCACACTTTACTGTTTTTGTTGTATAATAGAACGGCCGGTCGTACTTCTAGAGTTACGCAGTGAAAGTCAACCCTAATCACATTTACCCCGAGGTATCTAGCAAAGCTTTTAACCTTGTCAAGACTCTGGCAGACGGCACACTGCAACAATGCAGCAATGCCGACGTCGTTGTCGTTGTCGTTGTCTGCGTTGTCGTTGTGGTTGTGTGGTTTAAGGCCACTGGAAAATTTATTACTTTCTTTGGCGGTCGTCCAAACACCATCAACTCTACCTCCACCCCACTCACCCACAACCTCTCGCAAACTTGCAACTGCCGGAGGTTTGTTGAGTGATTTTCTTGGCCGCATGGCGTTAACTTGTTTGAGCAGCTCAAATGAGCAGAGAGAGCTTCTAGCTCGCCAACTGTTGGCGGTTGCTTGTTACCCCAAAATCCACGACTGGCTCGGTTCTTGGCCCCTTTAATATATCTAGAGGCGCAACCGAAGTTTGTTTGCTCGACGGCTTTGCAATCGGAATTTTCGGCTATTCTTGCAGCCCACTAATTGGCAATTGCCTGGTGGCTTCGCATTGATTTATTATTTCACAATTTTCGTTGTATATTCAAGGCAACTGCTTAATAATAAATAATTAAAACATAAATTTATTATATTCTTAAAAAAATTACGCTATTGAGTAACCCTTTTCAATTATTGAGACTGTGATTAAAATTATTTAATTTTTAATTGTGCTTAAATGAATTGTGCTCTAAATATGCTTTACCCAGAAGTTATTATAAACCTACAGCCGAGTCGATATAGCTACATTTGTCTGGTCGTCTGTATGTTGCTTTGAAAACTTGTCTCTTAGTCTTATAACTCACGTCATTAAAATTGGTACAGCTCCGTCTGTTTGCTGCGTATTTTGGAATCGGACAGATCTGGCCACTATATCATGAAGAACCCACAATATTAACCAGTTTAAATTAAGTTTAAAACTTTTTGGTTTTTCAAGATATCGTGACTAAACTTAACATATACAAATTTTACCTTATATCTTACATTTGAATAAACACGTCTCAATATCGGAGCTCTCTAACATATACCTCTTTAGGCAGAATCAGTCGCCTCGTATATTTTAGAAGCGTAAGCCTCATAGCCAGACCGCCTTCACTTTCCTGTTTTATTTATTTATATAAATGAAATATTTAGTTTTTAAACATAATATATTACCATTTTCATACATATTTTTCTTGATTTACCATCTTAAAGGCTTAATTTCTTTAAAATTATTATGCATTTATTTATTTAAATTTTAATGAAATGCTGCAAATGCTTGGCTCTTGTATATTTTAATACATAATAATATATAAGGTTTTTCAGGATATATATTAAGAGCCTTTGGCATTCCAATGCATATTTTTAGTGGATGAAGCCAAAAAACTGTGTAATTCATTTCTGCACGTCTGTCACGTGGCACCTTTCTCTGCGTCAGCGATAAAGCAATAAACAGAAAGTAAAAATGTCGAGATGTGAATGTGACACTTTTGATTGAAAGCCAGGACACATATATTTATATATCCATGCTTATGTGTGTTCGTTTGTGTTTGCGTGTGTCGGTGTGGGCGTGAGGGCTAAGTGTGTGAGCATTGTGTGCAACTTAATCAAATTCATACTCGGAATATATTATTCTATATAGTGGATAGTATATGAATTCGTCTGATAATTGAAAACGTGTCAACAAGTCAAGCAAGTTCCGCAAATAGAAAACGCTGCAGGCCCCCGCAGCTTTTATGTCCTCGAGCAAAACGTGACGGGAACCGAAGCTATAAAGATTATCGAGCGAGTGCTCGAGTCCGTCTACAAAGTTAAGCCTAAGCATGCACGCCCTGTATTTCAGCAAGTGGATTTTCTTGTCACACGAAATGCAAAAATTAATTTAATAAAATGCTAACGATCATGTTCTAAATTTCAGTTACAGATTTTGTAGAGTAAAACGTAAGGTAAGTGTACCTTAACAAGCTTCTTGATGTTGGAAACTGCAAAAATGAAAATGTAAGTTATTGATATTTTTCATATTGACAATCTTATATACTTAGACTCTCATAAGTCGAACTGTTCTATCTATCTAGTTATATATTCAACTTTAATGTTTTGTTTTAATGTTTTTCATAACAAAAAACCGTAGACTCTCATAAGACTTACTTTTCTTTGTCTTTATATATTCATATTAAAAGTTTGGCTAGAGTTGGAAAGCGGTTAAATTTAAAGATTGTGAATTATTGGAGTTCACTAAAATGTCCTTTGCCTTCACATGAAAGACTATACTCATTTATAGTATTATACCTTTTTGTTGGAATGCGGCAAACTGTAACTATGTTACGTTCGATTTATTTTGAATCTGAAATACAAAAACGTAATCTATTTATCTCAGTCTGTGCTATTAGATATGTGATGAACAATCAAGACAATTTATTTATCCATACATGCAAAACTAGAAGTTATAGGTCTTGGATAAGTAATGCTATGACTCACGTTCAATAAACATTAATTACGAAAGTTAAACTTAGCCAGAATTCGAGGCTTGGCTCAAAGCGATAATTTGAGTGGTCTTAATTTTGAAGCTCCAAGGGAAGGGAATAATATAAATAAATGAATGAACTAAATTTATCAAAGTATAAATAAAACTGGGTCATAGTTTTAATGTTTGATGTGTGACCAATAAATTGCTTGATTAAACTTAAACAACCTTTTACGTCATATAGATATACCCCTTAAAACTACGTGCTTATTTCGTGTATTATGCCGTCTAAATTTGCGGTTCGGTGCTAATGACAAATCAAACAACCAATTTCGAATACGTTTTGAAGTTCGCACCGAGCGTTATCGGTCGCAGATAGAACGAGTAACAGAGACGTTTGTGGAATTAGTAATTTTCATGAGCATTTGCGAGTGAACACAACAAAAAGCTCGATAAGCGATCGCCCGGCAATTGACTATTGATAAGAAAAAATAAAAGCGATCCGCAGCCGAGTGAGTGACTCCGCTTAACAGTCGAACGCGATATTCGCAGAGAGACGGACGCGTGACCAATACGTTTACTCCGACCTCTAATTCCAGACGCGGCTGAGTCATAAGTTATGAATTTTCTTTTCGGCGCGACGTTGCTGGCATTTGCGATCTCAGCTGGCAGAGCCTATGAGAGTGCGGAGAGTGACGACAACGACGAGGCGCCGGACAATTGCCCAAAGGAACAGCAGCTGTGTAGGTTGGAGTGGCGCAATAATACTGTAGAGCGCTGCTTAGACAAACTCTTCAGAGCGGACATCACGGGTCTGGCCTATTGCAATGCGCTGCACTGTGAGCCGGAAGCGTTCGTCCACGACTACATCACACGCAATCACGATCAGAGTCCACATAACAACACCTGGAAACGGGCCAGGATTGGCGAGGCAGCCACTCTGCACGATATCTGCCTGCTTCGGAACGGTTTGCCCGTGACGCGAAAATGCCAAGTGAAGGGTATGCGCGCCCAGTGGGAGCCCATTGACAAATGGGCACCTGTTGTGTGCATGCGACGTTTCAGAGAGCGCTCGATCACCGTGGAGCTTAACAGTCTGCATGATGACCTTCTAGAAGGCAGACGGCGCACCAATAACACCCAAGAACGTCGTCACACTACGGCCCTAATGAGAGATATGTTTAGGCAGGAGGATAGAACCTTGCTGCCAGCCGACGTCCATGTTGCCGGCCAGGTGTTCGTTGAGCTTATGGAGCAGGAGAAGGATGCGGCACTGAGTGGGGATTTGATCAGCATTTGTCGAGAGATCATGTCTAGCGATGCGAATGTATTGCAGCTATCGGCACAACTGAACGCAACCAACTCGTTGTTAAATAGCTTCGAGAATTATATGGATGCACTGCCGCAGCAGCTCGTACCCAGGGAGAGCTGCGGCAAAGTGGTCGTTCATGCGGCCAGTGAGGCGAGTGACTCAGCTGCGAATGGGGTGGAAGTGTTGAGCAAAGCGAATATTGGTGTACACGCCCTGATGAGCAACAATCTAAGTGTACTCTTCGTGAATCCCGCCTGTGATAATATCACTGGAATCGCCATTTATTCGTCAGCAGCTCCGAACCGGCAGTCATCTGGCAGTGGCTTATGGTATCGCTTTCTATATGCAAACGAGAATCTGGAGCAGCTGAGAAGGGAGACAAATCTGGAGACGGCCACTTACGTGCCGGAGCAGCTGTGGCGGCAGCTAAGCCAGAGAGGCGCCTTTTATCTGATACTCAAGGTCTACGCTCATGACGGTCTCTTTGTGGAAGCCACTCAGAAGCGCAGTCGGCGACCCCGCAGCAAAGTGCTATCGATAAGCATACCCGGATTTGAGGGTAAGTTAATTAACCGGCTTATCGATAAGATATCGATACAACTATCTACTCTAGGTAAGGCCTTGCCGCAATCACTTCCCTTTCTGCTGCACAACGAGAATCATCGGCAACCAGATGCGCTAGCCGTAACGACGGGCAGTGGCTGTGGCTACTGGAACTATCAGACCTGGCTGAGCGACGGTATCACAACCAGCAGTGGAACGGATATGCTACGGGATCCGGTTATCGTCTGCCAAACGCGGCACCTGACCCAGTTCTCGTATCTGTTGGGCGGCAGCTATCGCAGCAACGACCTGGGCGAGGAGGTGCTGGTGACCCCAATCAATGAGCGCGTGCTGGACATCATATCTATTGTTGGCTGCTGCCTGTCGCTGTTTGGCATTCTGGGCATCTTTTTGACCGCGGCGTTGTTCAGAAGCTGGCGCAGTCAGGCTTCCACGAAGGTGTTGATGCATCTCTGCATGGCAATGATGCTGCAAATGGTGCTGTTCGTGTTCATCAATACGGACGACATTTCGGAGCAGCTAGTTGACCAGGGGGATAACACCCGCTGCGTACTCCTGGGCGCTACTTTACAGTACTCCATTCTGGCATTGTTCTGCTGGATGCTGATCATTGCATTCCTCCAGTTCCAGCGCTATGTGACGGTGATTGGCATCGAGCGACCGAGGCACTACATCCTCAAAGCGGCCCTTGTGGCCTGGTCCTTGCCTCTGTTGCCCACATTGCTGGTGGCCTGCATCGATCCGGAGTCCTATCTGCCCACTGCAGAGCAACTGGCCATGGACACGGGCATATGTTATCCCTCCGGCTATGGGCTTATCTTTGGCGTTGTCCTCCCTGTCACGCTCATTACTGTTGCCAACCTGGTGATCTTTGTCTATGTGTTCTACAGCATCTCCCATTCGCTCAGTCAGAGCATTCAGCGGGCGGAGCGCAAATTGGTCAGCAAACAGATTCGTCTCTCTGTGCTGCTCTTTTTTCTGCTGGGTCTGTCCTGGATCTTTGGCATCTTTGCCTTCTTGCAGGCTGGCGTGGCCTTTTCCTATCTCTTCTGTCTTACGGCCACGCTGCAGGGATTCGTGCTTTTCGTCTACTTTGTGCTGCTCGATGAGGTGAATCGAAGGGCTTGGATAGGACTACTGTGGCCAACGAAGATGAAAATGGATGTGCAGAAGCGCACGACAGAGCTGCAGTCGATGACCACCTCCTCAACCAACTACTCAGGCAGATCTGAGCATTACTAAGCTGCTGGCCTTATATTTAAAAGCGAACAAAGTTTTATTAGAAGTATTTTAGAAGTATTTTATTGTAACTCATTAAATATAATTTCTATTATTCCATACCTGAGACCTGAGAAATGTGTAAGAGCGTTCAAAATATATATTAGCCCTTAGAATGGGTGACTAATACTATGACCACCTCTTAAAATTGATAGACTACAAATGAAAAGACGGAGGGCGGCGGTCTGCTTATGTTTTTTGGATAGATATAATAAAACCAAGTAAGAGTACTTTTCTCTGAAGAATTCCATTAACATATACCCTGAACCTAGCGCTGAACTGACACAAGCACGAGCCTTCTTATCCAATAATTGAAATATTCCTAATATGGATACACCATATATTATTATATTGTATTATTGTTTTATTATTGAATACACCAAATAGTAAAATTAAAGGTAAGAAAAAAGATAAACTTTATAATTAAACAATTATATATAGAACAGAGACAGATGCCGATGTCCAATAATTTTCAAATATTTTAAATTATATTAAGTAGATAGGGATAGATAGGGATAAGAACTCACTGACCCGATGGGAGCAGATTGTTTAGCCCCCAATCATTGTTGGACGTTACAACTATGCTTGAGCGGCCATGTCTAAAAACCGATAAATATCGATATTATGAAAAAGTGGCAGCAAATATCAAAGTAACACAAAAAAAAGATAAACTCTTTGTCTACTTTGTTCTGTTCAATGCGGCTAATCGCAAGCGTTGGATAGGACTACTTTGGCAAACAATGATGAAAATGGACGCGCAAAGCAAACACTGAAATTGTATGCCAGAAAGTCTTTTATGCATCACAATTAATTAATAATGGAAGCTCTTGAATGGATCCTTCAATATTTATGAGGTTCATATAATCAGCACAGCATTTATTCATGCATGTATCTAAGAAAAAGAATTAGGGTATGTATGTTGGGTGAGTGGTTGAAGTTCAGAATGCTTTCTCTTTGATTAGCTTTGTGATAAATGTAGCGCTCGAAGCTGATTGATAGTCAGCGTGACACAGCAGCAGGCAGCGTAAAGAGTAAAAGTTTGATTTTTTTATTCAATAAACGTAAATGTGAAACAATTCCATTTGAAATTTAAACAAATTGGAGTTATAATTAAATGGTTAGGAGATCAAAAAGTTTTTAACATATTCTGTCTTATGGCGGCTATGTGTTACAGTTGTTCAATTAGTTTATGCACAACGCCTTGGAGAACACTGCATTATACCCTCTATTATAATTATAAGGGTATAAATAATCAAAATTGGATAAATTGTGGGCCTTTCCACACGTCTATTGCTTGCTAGGAGTGAAACTGAGAGAAGCTTAGAATAAAAAATTGGAAATAAACGGATTCAAATATAATGTTAAAATAAATAAGCTTACAATGATGTGTGATATATGGAAAATATAAGTTTAACCGAAATTTGGCACTTCGCTCCCGTTTCTCACTTATTGTTGGTGTGTGTCAACAGTGTGCATCCAGTGTTCAGTAGTGACATGAATAGCACGGTTGCTTCATTTTGGCAAAACTGTCAGTTTTGACAAGTGCTCACAGCGTACTGGGCGTGTCAAGGACGTGTACATGCGGCGTATGCGCAATGCGTGATGTGCGCTTTTAATGTTTTGTCTTAAAATGGCCAGTTGGTGGAGATCAAAACCCCAAAACGGGTCTGCTCTAGTCATGTGTAAGCTGAGATAATTATTAAAAGCATTTTCTTGAGTCAACAAATGTCAAAAAACCCGACGGTGGTAGCGAGGCAATATCGGAGCCAAGTCAAGCAAAAATTGGCAACAACTCAACAACAAAACAATGTTTTCGTTGTGTGCATTAAAAGTCAACGACTCGGCAAATGAATTGCAGGCCAAACAAATTTAATTTGCTCGCATAGCAACAAACAACAAAGCAACAAACTTTCCAAACAGCTCCGAGCCGGTCTGTGGATCCAATCTACTGTCATCTAATTACATTTTATTTTGATGGCGAACGTTGTGTATGAGGTTTTTTGACGACATGCCCCATTTTTATGTTGTGCCCCAAATTTTGATTTGCCATTTGCGCTCAGGTTGCGACGAGTCCGGTTCGCATTAATTTTACTAATTGTGCGATTTATATGTTTCTTTCTGGCCAACACTTTGATTGACTTTTATGGCAGTGTATTTGATGGCAGGCCTCGTGCTTCCGCTTAATTAGCCAATTAATATAAATTATTCGGCTGATACCTATTTTTATGGCAGGTCATGCCAATTGATTAAAGTTGCATGCAATAAAATCTAGACCAATTTAATATTCATGCTCGCCTTCCAATGCTGGAATTTAATTTCAGGTCGAGCTCATTTGAGCATTTGAAATTTGAATACGGGCGCGCTAAGATTACACGCTTCCAATTATTTTACATTCATGTGCAGCATTTTGCTTGTCTAGCTGCTCATGTTTCGGCCTCTGGTTCCCTCCCGGGGGCACAGACCGACTGACTCAGCCCGGCAACCGTCTTAATTGCAGCTTGGAGCTCAGGTGTGCCCGCTCACGCATGAAAATGTGCCACTTGGCCGTAAGATTGGCCTTTCGCCTGCTCTTGCTATCAAAATCAACTGATTACAATTTCAAATGTTATGCAAAGAGCGCACTTAAGAGACTCCGCCAAAGAGAGAGCATTTATTTGACTGGCGAAATACGCAAGCGCGGCGCTCTCTTTACAGTCAGGATGCCCCGCCTGCATTTCCATACGTTAAACGTAACGCGTTACGTATACGTAGCGTTGGCCGGTTAGCGGCGAAGACCAACGGCCAACAGTGTGCGTCGACAAACGCATTTGTGCGGACCTCAAGCGGAAGTGCGAGCCTGAAATAACGAAATCAGGAAACAGCTCGAATGGGGCTTAGCATCTTGAGCCGCCTCTCAATTCTAAGTTCGGCGAAGAGCTTAATCGCCTGTTATATATGTTAGTATATGCGTATGTACGTGGCTGCAATAATTTTAGCCTGGCACTGAGATCTAATCGTCCTTCTAGCAGCGCCATAAATTGCTTTAGACGCGCTTTTAATATGCTCACAGATTCGTATTCATAAAAGCGCCATTAAAGCAGCGCGTAATGCAGACAAGGTGCTAGCCAGCAGCTGTTGAATTAATTAAAAACAAGCTAAAGTCCAGTCAAAATAAATGGCTTGCAAGATTTATGCTTAAGGTCAACAGCAGGAATTCGCATAAAAATATTTATTTAACACCCAACACGTGCTGACAGATGGCAGCGGCCACCTTTCGAATATTTTCAGAGAGTTTGGGCTTGAAAAACGCAATGAACCAAGTTATGATAAAAATAGACGAGGGACTCTTTTAATTGCCACGAATAGCAGCGCGTGCAACATCTATTTGCACAGCTGGCAGCCCAAAGGTCAGCAGCAACACACGCAATGCTAGTCCCAAAAATAATAATTTTCTATTAATGGGCGACATGCACGTGAGCTGGTTAATATTGTAAAGGTTATGTGCTATTTATGTATTCGCATGCAGATAAGAAATATGTTGTGCTTAGGAGAAGATTGCAGTTAAATGAGCAACAATATGCCATAAGAAACTAACTTTAACTGTGCAGAGCTTGAAAGTAAAGTAGGATAAGCTTAACTAAAATATTGCCATCTTGTCAGACAGCCAGGCGAGTGTTGTCTTGGCTGTCTTGAGTATTCTAAATATTTTAGGGACAACTAATAAATGCAAAGTCATGTGGTAACGAGGTCACAATCTCACTTTTCTGTGCTTGAGCTATCCTGTGGGCTCTGGTTTTTGTATTTGAAAAAGCATGGGACAGTATATCATGCAGACACAGGCATTAATTCTGCGATCCATGAACAAAAAGAATATATATTATTGATCAGGGTGACGTCTGCGTGAATGCATCGATCTCAAAAACTATAAAAGCTAGATACTTAAAATGTACCCTTTATATTTTCGTGTACTATACGCAGAACAAGGTTAGGTTTTTATCATATCGATTGAAAACAATTTTGCGACATGGGTTTTCAAGCATAACACACAGACAAAAAGAGATAATGGGTATGTAGGTTATCGTATCATAGATTATAAATATATAACTTTTTCATAACCTCCCAACATTCAACCAAGTTTAACAAAATTAACAAATTAAAATTTCGCAAAGATCGGACATTCTTTAAGGTTTGTAACGGAAATTGAGTTCGGGGTATCTGCTAGTCGGGCATTCCTCGTTCCTATGGCAGCTATATGATTCCGACATGTGCACTGCATGCAACAAAAGGACAGACATATGTAAAATTTTAAGACGATACCTTTAAATCTAAGAGACTAGTTGGCACAAAACCAGACAGTCGGACAAACGGAAAGACGAATATGACTATCTATCAGCTCGGCGCTTAATGCTGATCCAGAACATAATTTATTACATTTATTTGTACGTTTCCTTTAGCCACATTCGAGAATATCCTTTCAGCTTAATTCTAGACGGCTCAGCCACGTGCAATTTGTGGTTTCTGTGGCGTCTTTCATTTGAGTGGGACTCGTAAAACGGCAGCCGCTGCGACGTCAGATTGACATATGTGTAGGTAAATGAAGTAATATGGGGCAAACACACGCGCGCACATACAAATACACGCACACACACACGCACACATCAGTCAGGCAGACGTCTGCTCAAGGACTCTGGCGCTGTGGGTAATTAAGCGCAGTGCTTAAGCCTGATGAGGTTTTCAACGCGAGATAAATACTTGCTTATTACAAAAACAAGAGCAATGCCCCGCCCCATCCTTCTGTCTGCCTATCCGTCCGGTAGTCTGTCCGCACCATTCAAAGCGGACTCCTTCATGAGTATTATAATTTCGAGTGAGGCATAGAGAGTATATTACAGTTATTTGCTGAAGTACGCGCATAATATTAATTTGATTGCCAGCTCGCTTATGCAGCATACTTTTATGCGCCACTGTGGAAATTACGACATCCACATTTAGTTCGCCCCAGTCCGTGGCAATTCAGATTTAATGATGTCTATATTTAAGCTGGTTAGTTTGACACTGCTCTAGTATTTGGCATAGGCAGCAGGCAAAGCAGCTCAAATTGGCAAACAGTTCATGCAAATAAATAATTTGAATTAAATTTTATTATACATATGAAC